TAACAAAGCTTTGTAGATTATAATTTTAAGAAAACTTTAATAGTAGTTTTTAGGGGGCAAAAGGTTAACTTGGCCCAGAAGACTTTGATCTATATTTAGTATACAAGCCAAAAGCAAAGTATATAAAGAAGAAAAAGGCAGATGGTATTTTTTATTATAGCAAATTTTGGTAAAACCAAAGTTTTGTTGATGAAATTACAAGATCTTTCTTTAGAACCTAGAAATATAACAGATTTTATTTTTTTTTAAAACTATACTCCTTTTATTTGTTTAAGTGGTTCTTTTTTTACCTTTTCTCACTCTTCTAAAAATTTTTATAAAAAGTAGAAGATTTTGTTTATCCCCCAAAAGATCAGCATTGTTTATATCCCAATTCAGACAAACTTAGTAGATTGCAACCATATGTCTTGTTTATTTGTAAATTCAGTACTACTTTATATGACTTGGATCAGGGTTTTGGTTAAAGAGATATTTAAACTTGAAGTTAGTTAAAAGATATATATACTAAAGTATAGCTTTATACTAGAGATATATAATTGTTGTATTTGTTATATAATTTTTTTTTTTTATTATGCAATCCTGTTTCTACTTATTTTATGAACTACTATAAGATTATTATACAAATAACAACCTAAACTAGTATAATACTTTATTCTAATAGAATTTCACCAAGTTGAAGCCCAATATAACCTGCTATAACAACTATTAGTCTCATGCCGGGATTTAAAACTTGCTTTAGATTTTGTATCAACAAAGAATATCTTCCTTGATTATTTGACAGGTTGTTATATACCATGTCAGAATCTCTTTTTTTCCTTCTAATTCTTCTTTCTTTTCAAGAGGCATGAAACAAAAGAGAGAAATTTTCCAACAAAGAGTAACAAAATGACCAGAAAAAAGAAAAATCAAAAAAGAAAAAAGAAACATTGATTGTAAAAAAAAAAAACTATAAAAAGAAATCTAAAACTCTGAAGACACTATTATAACCTATACATAGCTAATAAAAATTATATAACAAATGTAATATTTGTATATCTCTACTGAAAAGCTTCACCTTAATGTTAAATTTATTTTCCAACCTTCCTACCAACTTCGAATAGCTTCATTGCCGGTTCTAATTTGTATTTTGAGCTACAGTGAGGTGCCATATTATTGTAGACACTTTTTAAAAACTTGTACAAAGCTAAATATGCAAGGTATAAAGCTAAAAATTAAAATATTAATTCTTTAAATCTATATTTTTTAAATAAAAAAAAAATTATAAAATTTTATATAGTACTTTTTGAAATGAGTATTTCTATTTATACACAGTGTATACAAACCTGTATCACATAATAACATATTTAGTGCCATTACTGGAGCATATACATGTGTTCAAACACGTATCATGAGATCAATATTTATTAGAGCTTATATAATTTATATTTAATTTATTAGTGTAATATAACACAACCACTATATATTGTCTAGCAATATATAGTGGTTAACAAAGTTAAAAATTACATGTATTATTTAATAATTAACATCACCGGCATATATAAATAATATTTTAAAAAACTGATTTACATTATTCGTCACACCGGCACTAAATATGGTACAAAATCTTATAATAACAAAAGTGCGATTTTGCTATAATATATAACTATCTAAACTCTAATACTAATTTAAAAACTTATCTATTTAAAGATTCTGTTACTGGTTGTTCGAAGTAAATTTTTTGGTAATAATACTAAGATAGTAATACTGTATTTAATTTTTAAGGCTAACTCTAAATCAAAGTATCACTGGCTATACTTAATGTTCGTATATCTTTTTAACCTGTATTAAAATTAAAACTGTATAAGCATAATATAGTTAGATTCTTAAATATATAGATTAGTATTGTCAAATTAAAATCTAAAGCTGAAAATTCTATCGTGTTTAGTTATAGGTTTTAATTTGATGACTTCTAAATATGAATCTAAAGACTATAACGATAAGTAGAGATAAAGTTTGGAACTGGTTTTATTTTTCACATATTAAACCCAGTTTTAATTGGTTTTAGCATATAAAAAATAAACCTGGTTCTAAACTCTAAGTAAAACTAATTAAAATATCATGCTTAAAACTAAACTTGCTTGAAATTGCAATATATACATATATACAGATATATAAAGTTTGCGATCTTAACAGATACTATTTTTAAGCATAATATAGAAAACGTATATAGAATAGTTCAATTATAGTTAGTTTAACCTCAAGTTATACCTGAATATATAAGCACTACAAAAAAAAATTATTATCAATTGATAACGCTCAAACTACTTTAACTAATTAATAATGCTCAAACTGCTTTAACTAATTGATAACGCTAAAACTACTTTAACTAATTGATAACACTCAAACTACTTTAACTATAACTATAAATCACTAATTATTCAGACAGTCTTTGCATAATATCCAGGTTTTCTACATTTCCTGCATTTTCTACCTATTATATAATCTGCATCATTTTCTCTATCATAATTGTTATCTATATTATTCAATATATTAGTCTGTGTACTATCTTTTAATACTTGTTTACCTTTGCCACTATTATAGTTTAGTTCAATGCTACTTTTTAACCTATTTGGCGGTCGACCTCTATGTTTAGAAATTGTGGGATTCATAATGGTATTTTCACCTTGTTGATTATCATTATTTTTATTTTGAATATTATAAACAAACACCTTAAACATATCCATTAACTCATTATATGATTCAGTCTTGATAGTGATATCAATAGCTTTCTTTAATAACCCAGAAAGTTCTGCATATACAGATCTTGTTGTTGGCTGAAAAATAAATGATGCAGACTGATTTGAAAGAAAATGCTGAAATGTAATAGACCTTGTTCTAAGATAATTATTTTGTTGTACTGTTTTACATAATGGAATTGGCGAATTTTGTTGAAAAAGTATTTTTTGAGTAATATTATAATCCAAATATCATTGTGATGAAATAAGAGCCATGTGAAATTTAGTATACTGAGAATAGGTACCAACACGAAAGAAATGATAGCATAATAAACCTTTATTAACTAAAAGTAAACAAGTACACAAATGTGTACCTTCATTAAGTAATACTACATAGTGCCCAACACTTGATGTTCCAGTAGGACGTACATGCCATACTTCTCTAAATATTTTATATAATACTTTTTCAATCAATGATCTAAAAAGAATTAAGCATATATTATTTTTTTGTTCTCGAAGCCCATTATCGAACTCCTCATCATTTATATCCATCTAAAATTATTTATATTAAATAATGTACTACTAACAATAAAAATAAACTATTCTATTTTTTTCATACCTCAATTAATCTTTGCCATTCTTCAACCTGAATAACATCATAGCACACCAATTGGTTCATTTGTAATCGTTGCTTCCCAAGCATAACAGGTATTAAATACTTTTTTAATATATTATCTACCCGTCCAAAAAATCTAGTACTAAAATTTGGTAACCCACTAACAGGTATAGTATTATGTTCAACTTCAAAACTTTTATAATGTTCTTTACCTTTAACAGATTTATTAATGCTGGTTAATAAATTACATAAAGAAGTAGCATGATCTACTTTACTGTGTATATTCTTATTAATAGACTCAATTCGTTGGGTACTTTGTACTCTAGCTATGAATTGGTTCCTTATCTATGGAATTGCCCACAATACTTTATTAACATATAATGTATCTAATATATAGTTACTTATTTCAGGATATTCAATAATCAAACGATTTCATCTGATCTCAAATAAATCTTTATACAAAGAATTTCGACAAATATAAAATTTGTTATAAAATTCATTAAAACGAGCACCTAATTTGCTTTTGAGTTTCTTACAAATATTTAAATCAATATGAAAAATATACAGTAAGTGATTTGTGCTTGGATATACTTCTTTAATTGCACTAATTAGTGCTGGATCAAAGTTGGTAAATATTGCCCTAGGTGTAATATCTGTTTCATTAAATATCATATTAAATATCTACAAAAATGTATCTAATGTCTCATCATCAATAACCGCTAAAACAACAATTCTAGTTTTAAAATAATTGTCAATAACAGCTATAACAAAAAACATCATTTGGAATCGGTTAGTATTAGAAGTTGTATCCAATATTACAACATCAAAAAAATTCTTATATAATTTTCTTTGGGTGAGAGACATCCATAAAAGAGATATTAATTTTCTTGATACAGGTTTTAATTGAGGCTTAACAATCCAAAGAGGGTTCGACTCCTTCCAATCTAATAAGGTATGAAGCATTTTTGAGGCATCTAAGTCACCAGGATTGTTTTCACGATGAATTTGATATACTGCATTATATAAAGCCTTTTTATGTATGTGGTGTTCAGGGTAATCATGCTTTAGTAAAGAGTAAATCGACCCAGAATCTATACATCTCTGAATTACATATTTTTTAATGTCTACCATCATACTTGCAGTCAATTTACGAAATTGAGGTGCTATTTCACATGCTATTGTAGTAAGAAGATGGTTATGTTTATTATTAAATGAACTAATTTTAACCAAACCAAGTGTTTTAGGATATGTAATGTTAAGTCTCCAGGGGCACTGTGTTTTTTGAGATGATATATTACATCTTTTGGTAGGATCAGATAGTACTTTGGGAACATGCTTTCCAGATTTTATACATTTATAAATAACATGACATATAATATCATTTTCTTTTTTACTATTTCATATCTTGTAACTAAACACTTTATTTAATGCAAATATTTTAAACCAATGTTCAAACTCAACCCAGTTTGAATAAGTGCAATCAACTATTAACTTCAAATTATTAAATAAATTGTTATCTTCTAAGTCAGTATTATCAGAATTATTAGACAATTGTTCAATTTCATCAGAATTATTAGACAATTGTTCAATATCATTTAAGCTATGTTTATCCGAAGATAAATAAGGTAAATTGAAAGGCTAAGAATAACAAACAAAAGTATAATCGATGATTAGTTAAAAACAATATATACTAGAAAGAACATTCTAAAGATTATAGTTATATTATTTTCATCATTTATAAGTTGTTCATAAAAAGATTTATTAGTTGGTTGAAAAAGATGTTGCATATAAGCTTCGTCGCCCACTTGTTGTATATAAGCTTTGTTGTCTACTTGTTGTATATAAGCTTTGTAGCCTACTTGTTGCACATAAGCTTCGTTGCCTACTTGTTGTATGTAAACTTCACCACCTGGTTGTTACATATAAGTTTCATCTACTTGTTGTATATAATTTGTACCCGGTTGTTGTATATAAGTTTTACCCAATTGTTGCATGTAAGTTTCATCTAGTTCTTGCATATATGTTTCACTTGGTTGTTGCATGTAAGTTTTGCTTAGTTGTAGCATATAAGTTTTGCCTATTCATAGTATATATAAGTTCTATTTACTTATTGTAAATGTAGGTTCTGTAAAGTAAACTAGTATGATATAGAAATTCATTTTACTTTCCTACTAATTGTTTAGAAAGCTTGGTACTAACATAAAAAAATCTAAAAGTTAAAGTTTAAAGTTAAGCATTTAGTGAAGTTCAATATTTAGAATTCAAGCACTAGTATTCACATGGCTAGAAGTTTAGGTACATACCATACACAGTTCAGATATCTAGATCACAAAGAATGTAGAAGAGGAAAAAGAGTGTAGAAAGCAAACATTTAGTGAATTTCAAAGTTTAGAGTTTAAGCACTAGTATTTATATAGCTAGAAGTTTAGGTAAATACTATACACAGTTTAGATATCTAGATCACGAAAAATGCAGAAGAGGAAAAAGAGTGTAAAAAGCAACATTTAGTGAATTTCAAAGTTTAGAGTTTAAGCACTAGTATTCATACGGCTAAAAATTTAAATACATACCATACACAGTTAAGATGTCTAGATTACGAAAAATGTAGAAGAGGAAAAAGAGTGTAGAAAGCAAACATTTAGTGAATTTCAAAGCTTAGAGTTTAAGCACTAGTATTTATACGGCTAGAAGTTTAGATACTATATGTAATATTACACTATATTTTATAATCTAATTATTTCAAAAGAAAATTACTAACTAAACATGGTGTGTACAAACACAGGTAATATATAAATTATAAATTGTACTGTATGTATATATATATAATACATATATATATATTAATAATGTAAATTTTGAGTAATGTATCACCACTTTTTTTTCATGTCGCACATATCCTTTATACTGCACTTTTCTTTTACCTTATACTTTACCTTACGCTTTACCTTACTCTTTACCTTACACTTTATCTTACGCTTTACCTTACACTTTACCTCCTGTTGTCTACTCTTTTTTTTATTCTATTTTGCGCTCTTCTTGTTGTTGGGCATTCTTCTTGCTTTCTATGCTCTTTTTTCTTCTGCTACTGTGCTCTTCTTTTTGTCTGCATTCTTCGTGATCTGAATTCTGAACTGTGTATGGTATGTACCTAAACTTCTAGCTATATGAATACTAGTGCTTAAACTCTAAACTTTGAAATTCACTAAATATTTGCTTTCTATGCTCTTTTTCTTCTTCTACATTCTTCGTGATCTAGAAATCTTAACTGTGTATAGTATGTCATCAGCAAAAAAAATAGACCAATATATATCGATTACTAATCAGGTGAATGCAAATCGATACTAATCACCCCTGCCGATTACTAATGATTATGATAGTAATCGATATATAACGTATTCGATTATTAGCAAAAAATGATTTAAGTTGATATATAGCGGGTTCGCTTTATAACGAAATATAATAGTATTCGATAGTAATCACTTCTGCCAATTAATAACGATCTCGATAGTAATCAATATACTATATAGCATATTCGTTTATTAGTGAAAACAATAGTAATTAATATAGTACCCAACATGATATAACCGATTATATAAATTTATTTAATTTATTTAAGTTATTTTATTTACAAATTTTTCACATCTCATACCCCTCATACGTACGTACGTACGTACGTAATAATGATCTATTTACAAATACAATTAATATTTATCACTTTTCATCAGCTTATGCTGTTGATATTCTATGTTTTCAAAACCTGTTACTTATCGTTATACCAGTTCCAAGTTCTTCTAAATTCTGAATCTCAAAGTTCAATCCCGCCTCTATTTAACTTTTCTAGTGAAGCACAAAAGCTGCAAAGCATTAGTAATACAACAAAACATCTTGTTACTAGTTTCGGATCCAAGCTCTCGAT